CTAATTGTCCTGCTCCAGAGAATCACAACAGTAACCAAGAACTACCAACATTAATACAAGTTTTTTGTTCCTGATTGCTTATCTGTTTGCATCTGCTGCTCGAACAGTGACACATCTGGAAGTGGATGAAACACTTAGAAGAAAAAAACCCTGACACAGATTAAGAGTGTTGTGTTGACCTGGGCCTGCTGCCAGCCACCTGCCCAGCCCCTCACTCACCCCCTCTCCTCAGCAGCACCGGGAGACAAAAAAACCCAGCAGCTCATGGGTGAGGTTAAAGACAGGGAGACCACTTACTAATCATCACCACAGGCAAAACAGATTCATAGGAAAAATAACTTAATATACTGTAAATTAATAGTGCTGACTATGGAGAAAGACCTTTTCCCTCCTCCGCTCTCCCCCATTTTCCCAGGCTCAACTTCACTCTCCTTTTTACCCCTCTACCTTCCCACATGAAAGTCAGAGGGCTTGGGTGGTTATGATCAGCCCATAAGTGCTCCTCTGCTGTTCCTTCCCCCTCACACTTTACCCATGGCTGCAGGGAAATACCTCCTCCACTTCAGCCCCCCAGGGAGCTGCAGGGGAATCTCTGCTTGGCCTAGAGAGCCTCCTCCCCTCCATGTGCTCTCACTCTGGCCCTCACAGGGCTGCTTCCCACACTTTCCCCTCACTCCTCACAGCTGGGCAGTATCTCACCATCTCCAAAACATGCTTTCCCTAAGGCACCCGCAAGGCTGAGGGGCAGAGCCCTGAGGGTGGGCACCTGGAACTGGATGGAACCAGCTGAGTCCGGCACAGGGTAGCCCCTGCCACTCCTCAGGGAGACTGCCTTGCAGAACCCCTCCTTGCCAGCACCTGGACACATACACTCAGAAGTGTCACCGCTGATAACAGGGTTTCCAAGGTCCAGCAGAGACACAGCTGTGCTCTAAACAGTTACGTATTTCTGTGCCCAGGGAGGCTATGATGCCTGCCTGCATTGTACAAGCTTAGATCACAGAACCATGGAGTGATCTGGAAGGGACGATAGAAATTTCATGTAGTTCCAACCCCCTGTCATAGGCAGGGACACCTTCCACTAGACCAGGTTGCTCAAAGACCCATCCAACCTGGCCTTGAACATCGCCAGGGATGGAGCAGCCACAGCTTCCATAGGCAACCTGTGACAGTGTGTCGCCACCCTCACAGTGAAGAACTTCTTAATATCTAATTTAAATCTCCCCTCTGTCAGTTTAAAGCCATTCCCCCTTGTCCTATCCCTACATGCACTTGTAGGAAGCACCTCTCCAGATTTCTTTAAGCACTGGAAGCTGCTCTAAGGTCTCCCTGGAGCCTTCTTTTCTCTAGGCTGATCAAGCCCAGCTCTCTCAGCCTGTCCTCATAGGAGAGGTGCTCCAGCCCTCCGATCATCTTTGTGGCCCTCCTCTGGTCTCACTCCAAGAAGTCCATGTCCTTAATGTTGGGAGACTCAGAACAAATGCAGCACTTGAGGTGGAAGTGGGAAGGTGATTCTCCCCGCTCAACTTGCTGGTCATGCGTCTTTAGATGCAACCCAGCATACGGTTGGCTTTCTGGCCTGAAAACATACACTGCTGGCTGATGTTGAGCTTCTTGTAAACCAACACCCCCGAGTCCTTCTCCTTAGGGCTGCTCTCAATCCAGTCTCTGCCCAGCCTATATTTGTGCCTGGGATTGCCCTGACCCAGGTCATGACCTTGGACTTGGCCTTTTTGAACTTCATGGGGTTCATGGCCCACCTCTCAAGCCTGTCAAGGTCCCCTCAGACTGCTCTTGGCTATATCACTGGTGCTCACGTTAAAACAAAAGCAGCAGATAACAGTAAGTGGACTGTATGAGGCTTGATGGTCTCTCAGTGACATCCCTGATACATGCCCCCAGTGAGCAGCACACTTCTCTAGAGAGGGTGTCAGGTTGGTAAATGGGTGACTCTGAACCTCTCAGAAGAGAGTCACTTGTACTCTCACCCATTGCCTTTTGATGGCATGAAAATGGTGGTTATTCCTGAGAAGAATCCAAGGGAAGGCAGTTAACAGCGCACTGCTCAAACATCTTAGCGCACAGCAGCAGTTTCCAGTTTTAAGATCTTTTTGGACAAAAGGGTTGAAACACTTTCCTTATTACACCCTTCAGGATTTCAGGAATGAATCACATATTTATGAACTGTCACGGTCAGATCCTACTCACACTATTCTGCTAATAGTAACTAGTTTCTGGAAAGGCATGCAAGAAACCAGCCACATACAGAACAACAGTCACCTAACAAGTCCTCCTATTTTCATTCATGTTCTGCTTAGAAACCTTTTGAGATAGATTGCTTTGGGAGCACTACACTTGAAGCACTGGGAGGATTATCTGCTGCAACTGCCTGAACTCTTCTGTACTCCCATTATGTTCCAGTGCCCACACCACCTTGAGGCAATGATCAGCTCCACAGTATCACTAGATGCTGCATAAAAGTGTACTTATTTTTCCTTTCATGTTAACTTCACTGCCCTGTATTACATTCTCTTACTAAATATCCAAATTACTCTCAGTTTCTCACTCTTCCTCATGTCTCCTGGGATTCAGCCCACCACTCAGAGAAATATGGAGGCAACTGGCCAAAAGCTCGCTCTAACCGTCCCCTCACGGTTCTAAGTTGACCCACCAGCTAATTATCTTCATCTCCAAGCCTGCAAGTCCCTTCCCAGCCATACTCCAAATTAAACCTCGAAGATCAACTCTACTTCCTTCCATGGAGCTGCTTCTGTTTTCCTGCACAGCTCTCTTCCATCTGTTCCACAAGGAATTTGACATTATGAGCAGGTATGATCTATTCCTGCTTTCACCCAAATTCTTTAAAAGTCTCAGATAGATATTTTAAAGTTTTTCTGGCTCCCAATGGCTAAGGGATATATTCTTGTGAGAATACAGCTAGTTTTTCATTATCAAAGACCCCACTGACAAAGATCTCTTCTTACTTCCTGAGTTTCGCTTTTCTCCCCCATTTTGTCTTCTGAATTTTGTTCTCACCTATAGTACATGGATTATTACACTTCTTTTGGTAGTTTATCATCACTCAGTACACAATACATCATTTTCATTTGTCTTCAGTTTTGTTCTGATACCTCGTAATAGTCTGGCTTTCTTTTTCTTTTCCCATCCAACAAAGCAGCAGCAGCCAGGTCATTGTCCTTGTTCTCCGGCACAGGAAAATTGCCAAGTTTGAAATCCATTTCTCATATACCTGTCTGTCTCTTCTCTGTTTTCTTGCTGTATTCCTTCAGTTGCACCCCAGGCATTCTCCTCATTTGCTGGCTCTGCATACCTAGACTTCTCTGCACTGCTTCTTCATTTGTTCTTTAATATGTTTTTAGAGGCTGGTCAGAATGCCACCCCTACTTCTAACCACACTACTGACCTTCAAAAACTTTGTTTTGAAAAGTCTGTCTCTCAGCTAGCAATTTCTCTTCGTAACTATGCAAGCATATTTCTTCCTCCACACATATTCACAGTCTTTCTCCACAGGCAGCTTGAAGTGCTTACTCAATATTCATTGTTGTCTACTTTCCCAGCTTTTAGACTTAAAACCTGCCAGTCTCACTGCCACAGAAACTGCCCTGTTTGCAGGCTTCAGAGCTAATTGAGAGTCCTGTCAGCAATCACAACTGTATTCTTGGTTCAGTTTAGCAGCATTATGTTCAAGCATTGTAAAAGAAGTGCCAGAACACAACTGGCATGACTGTATTTCTACTCAAACTGTAACATCACCACCTCATAAAGCTGATGATTCCAATCAATGAGTTGGACTCAATTAGGGCACAATTTAAAATGTCTCAATTTGAGAGTCAATGGTAATCATTCAGCTGTTATAATTAGGCAAAGCAATGCTTCCAAATCCAGAAAGAAGTCTTTTTTGGTGCAGTGCCTCAACATGAGGAAGAGACAAGAGCCTTAATTCCACTATTAAATATGCAGGATTTGAGCTACTCCCCAGAAAAGGATAAACCCCACAATACTGCCTTCTCAAACGTGACCAAAACCTAAGGCCAGGTTAGACGGACCTTTGAACAAATTGGTCTGGTAGAAGGTGTCCCTGCCCATGGCAGGAGGGTCAGAACCAGATGATCTTTAAGGTCCCTTCCAACCCAAACCATTCTATGAGAATATGAATCACTTCAGCATGTGAGGAAAAAAGTTAGCATAATTAATGTAACATTTCCATTGAAGTGGACTGGGGGTTTTGCTGATTATAAAGAAAGTAGGAACTTCTACCAAATGCAAAGCTGGCCATCATCCTACAAATGCAACATAACCTTTTTTCCCCTGTAGCTACTTTTACCAGCCTGCTACTTTTACAAAAACTGCTCTTAGGCCATTACAGCCAATAGAAAATATCATATAGATCTAAGGACTTCAAATCTCTGCAGTGGTATCAGAAAGAATCCACATCATAAAAAATTTCTACCACAATGGCTACTGGAGATTTATTCCTGGAAATTGTCAGCCTTTTCTCCAAATAAAATCAATCCTTGCACTTCAATAATTATTCCTATTTCTATGAAATAACTATTTTTTCATAGTGTTTTTAACACTTTCATTAATGAAGAGTTGATAGGAGGAGATAAAAATAGGAAATCCCCTCATTTAATGGTGAGGTTGGCAAATAATCATTCAAGAATAAGATGAATTGGCTATGCATCAATATAAACCCCATATTGTACATAATATCTAACAAAACTGAACCTCAAACGTCTACTTATTGTCAGTTGAAGATTATGATATATGGCTTTCACCTGATTTTAGAAAAAGTAAATAGCTTCTAAGATTTTCTTTTTTTGGCATGAATTCAGAGAGAAGCAGTGTTCAGACATGGGCATTTAACAGACAAGAGAATGTATTTTAGCTAAATTTTTAGCAAGTTTCAGTAGCTGAGTTTGTTATTTTTATTGACAGTAAAAATTGACACTGAACATATTGAGATATGTCTTACTTACTGAGAACTATTGAAACATCTGTTTTACTCCTGAACTCCACAATCCAGCAGCGCTCCAGGATTACCACTTCAGAGGCTTCAGAACTCTGAGACATAAAATATGACACAATGTTAGGATTTGGAACCTGATTGGGAAGTCCTTCTGTTTAGCTGTTTACATCCAATGCAACATGTAGATATATAAAGACAACAAAGCATAAAAGTCACCAGGCAGATGGATACAGGCGTTCTTTAATTACTGATCTGTGCCATCCTACTTCAGCTCTATGAGCTATAACGGGAATAAACTGTTAGAAAAGACCATGCCAGAAACTAAGAAAAAAGGAACTCAGTAGTTAGCTTTTTTCTCCTATTGCAGGTATTCAAAAGTTTAGCTGCCACCTCATTCCTAAACAAATCAGGCAAGTCTAGCTCATTCCAACTTTCATATTTACTGAATCAAATGTCAGATTCCATTAGAAGAGTAGCATACTTTCAAGGAAACAAAATAACAGTCTTACAGCAGGCATTTCACTTCAATTTTTATTTAAAAGGGATTTCTTTATCATCACTTGAAACTTTGAATGTTGTCTCTAGCTATGCAATTCAAATGACATTAAGTGATATGGGGACCTATTGCAGAGTGCAATATGATACAAATCACCACTATCATTTTTTGACTGCTCTGCAGAGAAGATGCAGGCTCTTCTAGTTTAGTATGACTCATTTTTCACAAGAGTGAAGCTATCAATCACTCCCTCAGAATTAATCCTTTTTACCTTAAAACTTCTATTATCCATTTTTTATCCCTAACATCTGCTAACAAATAACCCCTAGAACATGTACCCATACATTCCCTCATTGCCGGTTCACAACACAAATGCTGCAGAGCTCATTCTCTACTTCAGTGAGATTCTGCAGAGATTAATGTAAACTTACTTTAACATTCCTTCCTCAGGTACTTCTTTATTCAAGTGATCCTAAACATGAAAACTTTTTCATACTGTATTCCAATTTTACCAAAAGCCTGAACTTTAGTTCCACACATGACATTTAACAAATGACTCCATAAAACAGGTCATATTTGTAACACATGCTTAATATACACAGGTTTTCTTGTCTGCCTCTTTCTCCACATTTATACTGCACTATTTGTTCTGCCAGAATCACATTCTGCCAAGAGGTTTGTATTTGTTTTGAAATGGATGGCCTGATTCTGCGTTTTCTCACAAAAAGACCCTTTACTTACTTAGTAATCTTTCATAAGAAAAAAAGTGAAAATTTAATACAGTAAGACAGTAAGACCACAGTTAAGACTGATGAGTAATGATTTCCCTGAGAAAGTCTTTCCCCCCCGCCACCTTTTACCACTTATTAAATGAACACTCCAAACCCAGTTATCAAAGCATAAATCAACATCCAAAGGTCACAAAGGTTAAAATAAAACAGAGGTCCAAGGAAAAAGCACATGATGTTATACTGAAATATGCCAGAGGTCGAAAGAGAAATAGACTCAGAAAAAGCAATCAGACTTATCTAGAAACCACTTGTACACTGACTTGCTTGAAATATTATTCAGGTTGGGTTGGTCTAAAACGGATGCATTGTCCTGTAGACTGAAATCCAGCTAATTGATTAGTCAATAAAATTTTAAAAGGGAGAAAGTAGTAAAACAGTCCAGTAAGTTAAGGGAGAAATACAAGCGCTATGTTGGGAATTCTTAATTTGTAGAATCCAGTGAGTCAAGCATATGTGGTAACCCAGACGCAATTCTCAGGTGCTGTTGAGAGAGACGTTCTTTGAGGTTCTACATGGTAAAGTAAAATACAAAAAGTCTTTAAGGGCAACAGATCAAGTCACCTTGGGAAAACAGGCAATAATAGTTCAAAAACAAATATCAGACTAATTTGAAAAAGTTCTTTTACTGCAATACTGCTGAAACACTTTGAATTCTTCAGATTTTGAAGGAAAATATCAACATCAATAGTCTCCCAGACTTGAAAAGTGGGTAATGCAGCGTGATTCCTTTAAAAGCTGGCAATCTTTCAGAAAAGATATGACCAAACAGAGGGGCTTATTTCAGAAGTTAACAAAGATCTGAGACAATTTAACACTCAGCTGTGAGTACATAAGACTCCTATACACTCTGTCCAAAAACTAGACAATCAAACCTAACAGCTTTTTCTCTTTTCACCGCTATAGAAAATAGTTCCTCTGCTGATATTCATGCTCCAGAGATGAAACCAGCAAATGTAACAACTCCATAGACTTAGATTTCCTCCAAAATATATATCTAAAATAAGTGGAAACCTGTCAGTACGTAAAGAGAAGCAACTATCTGCTTCTTGCCTTTCAGACGAGTCGGGTATTCAGAAAGGCCTGGAATGAAGAATCACAGCTTCCATGTAGCTTGTTATAACTGTCAACATTTAAAGGCTTTATGTTTAGATTTGTATATGAAAGGGATATGTATAATACAAACAAATTGGCAAATGGTTAGCTAAAGATAACTATAAAATCATTAACAAGAATTTGTACGAGTAAGGTTTGTCTTGACGCAGTTGACGTACAAGAGTAACTACAAACACAAAAGAGACCATTCAGGGTTATTTGAAGTTTTATCCATTTATGAAAGCAGATGCTACAGCCCAAGAACCTCTTTAGAGACAACCTACTGAACTCCCTACACCAGTAGAAGTGGGAATGAAACAATGCTACATCTTCAAATTAATCTGACTGCTTTTCCAAGGTACACAATCAAGTACAGTGATCAGAGCATCTGATGCATTTACTCTTCCTGTATGCAAGAGGGAACAAGAGGGGAAACAAAAGATGAAAGAGCATAAGGCTGCCAGAAAAGAAAGTATATATTGCTGCAAAACATCTCCCACATCATGACACAAAATGGAAGAAAAATACCTTCTGAATACTATTACTGCAGACTTTCAATCATTTAGATGAGCTGTGCTCTGTCAAACAAAGGACTAACAAAAAATGCATTTACAAATGAAATGACAAAATTGTAATCAAGGGAACCATTATGCATATCCAAGAGATCAGTTTTGGTTTTCAGTATCTAAGGAGATCCAAAATTTCTCTCTAAGTTCATTATATGACCTTCTTTGGACTAGCTTCCCTCCACCTCAGGTGCAATTTTAAATAAAAGGGTAACTTCTAACAAACTGGTCTTTATGCACAGCAAATAGGATCAAAATCAGCTCTGTAGTAATGTGTAATTATCTAATATATTGGGGTTTGCTTCCTACCATTGATAATTTTGAATAATTGTCATAAAGTGCTTACTGGATCAAGCCAAATGTCAAACAGCAACTAGGCCTTGAACTATTACATCTTTCTTAAAATACTGACAAAGTCTACAGGCACACCACCACTGCCCAGATCATGAAATTGTGTTGAAACACTGATCTGAGGAGAAAATTAAAAGATTCCTAAATTTAACTTAAGCATCATAGCAAACTGCTGAAGTAGAAGAGTGCCCAACACCTAGAATCAACAGAAACCCTTCCAATTCACTTTGCCAAATGATTGGCCAAGTTTTGCTGTTGTAAATCCAAAGTACTGCTCTACAACTAAAGCCACTACTGTTTGTTGTTAACTGTCATGAGTTTCAAATCAGAGTGGTGAAGATACCCCTGTTTCTGGGGAATCCATGCATAAAACTGAAATAAGAGACAGATGCCTGCTAACTGTATATTCATACCTGCATAACTGTACACAGCTCCTTTTAACATCAAGGAAGCTTAATGATATTAAGCTGGCAACCATCAGTCAAGTACCTACTCCAGATTCCTGAATCTGCCACAGTCTACATTGTATGGAGGCATTTTCTGACAAAGTGTAACATTTTTGCAGTTAGAAAGCATAAAAACTGCAAACACATTCTACAGTAGAAAGCACACAGTATTTGAAATTACACTGGCACTTTTTTTTAGCTGTTTCTAACTCCACAAAATTTGCAACCTACGAGGTAAGCGGACTATGTAATAACAACTACGTTATTGCAGACTCAAGCCTGCCATTTTAGCTTGGATTGGGCAGGGGAAAAGAAAAAAAAAATGCTTTTGAAAAAATTAAAGCACTGAGAAACTCTTAAAACTGTCAGTGTCGTATCTGAACTATTTTTTCATTCCTGTAGATCTGACTTGATGTATCACTGGGAGGGGAGGAAGTGTGTCATTATAAAAAGGTTTTACAATAGGAGGGTGGTTGTTGTAAGGAGGGAGGAAAAAAAATAATCTACTGTTATCTATATCAAGTCAGGAACTGAACCGACAGCTAAAATTGGAAGTGACATTCCAAGCAATTCCTCTGTGATAAAACAGTAAGTAGAAAAGTGAAGTTATAGCATTGCATAAAAAACAAACACCACAGAAAGTAAAAACTCCTCTAATAAGACATTTCAAAAGGCCTCCAGAGTTAAACAGGGCAGGGGTGTGTGTGTGTGTGAATTTCACAGTTCATTTTCTTAAAAGCTTATTTTTGCAAACTTGAAACAATTAAATTCAAAAGTGTGATAGAGTAGGGATGCTACATATACCTATCCATTTATCATTCCTTTCAAATCAATTATATTCTGCTGCATCTAAACGTATTCCTATGATTAAAACAAGTTAAAGACAAATGTTACCGAAAGGTAACAAAACATAACTAGAATGGACGAAATTACAGTCACACAGAAGTACAAAAAAGGCTATGCTAGGGAATAAAAAAAAAATAAAAACTTTCAAGACGTCAGTGATGAGAATTCATTTCCTGCCTGCTATTAAAGTACTTGCAATAGAGGAGTTTGCCTGAAGGGACTGGTAGCAGCAGGTGAAGTTTATCAAATTATTTTGAGCCCATATCATCTCTCCCTCAAACTGCAAAGTCATCACTGCCCACCACTTAATAAAAGATGTATCTAATGACTTTCACTTGAAGCCTTAGAGGAAAAGTTGGTGACTGAGGAAACCTGAAAGACCAGGTATTTGGGAACCTACAAGGCTGCTTTCAGTGATATGCATGCTAAGAGCCTACTTGCAAGAGTAGAAAGTGAAGTGCCTGCTCCTAATTAGGGACTCTTACCTACTTCCACCATGTATCTACA